CTGCCGGATTTCCGTAATTTCAGAAAAATGAAAAATATTTACCTACAATTTTTTTTTTATTGAATCGGACTCAGAATCTGTATCCGAGTTACCTCCTTGAAAATGACGCGGCTTTAAAACAACACCTTGTATATTACTATTTATAAATAGCAAACATAGGCGTAGTCAATAGAGGTAGGATTAGCGCTTAGACGAGGTGAATCTTAGTTTTCTCAGGCAACAGGTTCTAGAGGCGCCTCTGATCGTACCAATTCGCTGTGATTATTTAAAGTTCTGAAAGTGAGTAGATATCGTGATGGAAACCGTATTCTTTATTTTTATAATTTAGTGCCAATTATTTTGTTATCTTAAGCAATTCATCTAGCAGTACGGCATTTATGAATCACTCTTAAAACTTTACTGCCTGCCTCGTTGGCCAAGTGGTGGCAAGTGCGATTGCCGGGTATGGGATCTCGGCTTCGATTCCCCGGTCGGGCAAAGTATTACTGGGTTTTAAAAAAAATCTCAGTAGTAGCACGGAGTCTGCAATTGTGCCCGGTATATGGCAATAGGCTCATCCCCTATTACATGGGACTAAATAGAGAAAAGCGGGTGTTACATTGTACAATAGCATTAAGTGCCGTAATGTGCACCTCTGCCTACCATTTCGGCAATAATAGGCGTTATGCTATGTATGTATGTATATCTTAAAACTTTAATCCCATTCCAAAATAGCAATTCACTATATTTGGACTGTTTCAAAAAGGCAAAATTAAAACTGTTTAGGTCTTTAGCGGGAGTATTTTGATGAAAAATCGAAAGAAGGCGGATTTGGTACCGAACTCTCCGGTCAGTCGAAGATTTGTTCCGTCCGAAGATTAATTTGAATCTTAATAAAACTTTTACTACCATATCCCTACGTTACATATTACCATATACCTAAATTCTATTACATAATGACGAAAGTCCCATCACCAGATTGTGATGTATTTGGAATGATTGATGATGTCTTGATTGAGTGTATTTAGAACGAAAGTGACTGCCTCGTTGGCCGAGTGATCGCAAGTGCGACTGCTGGGCAAGGGGTCTCGGGTTCAATTCCCGGGTTGGGCAAAGTATTACTGGGTTTTAAAAAAAAATCTCAGTAGTAGCACGGAGTCTGGAAATGTGCCCGGTATATGGCAATAGGCTCACCCCCTATTACATGGGACCTCATAACATAAATAGTGAAAAGTGGGTGTTACTTCTGTGTGCACCTCTGAATAAGAAGCATATTTGTGAGGTTCTATAAATTAATTAAAAAGCTAAACTATTTTAATTTGCCTAATTTCCAAAAGTGTTTTTTTACTTTGAAGGACTTAACTTGGACATACCTGGGTCGTTGAATGTGACAAGCACCATATTGCTGATCACGCTGGCCTTCTCATTGAACACAATATCCATGATCCGGTTTACGCTGCTTTTGACTTGATTTATGTCATCAGTCATCGAAAGAGTATCATCAATTACAAAAGTTAAACTCCCTTTCTCCGCGCATGATGCTTTCATAACAACATCAGCGAATACCAGTACCACTACCAGCGGATAAATCCGCCCCAACATTTTTATACTAAATAATTTACTGATCCGTAGAAATGATCGAAGGACACTGCATTGCAACTAATAACTGAACTATTATATATACTACTAATAGCTACTGTGTCATAAATATTTCCCCAAAACATAATATATACTTATTTTCCTTCTTAACCGATTTAAAAAAAGAATATATGTGTGTTTGTGCGCGTATATCTCGCGATTGGCTGAACCGATTTTGATGCGGTTTTCAGTGTTTATTAGACTTAGTAAAAGGTTTTAGCACATTAATTAACCTAGTTAAAAAAGAGGGGGATGGAGTCGGACTTATAAGAGTAGTTCATAAAATAATTATATTATTCGTAATTGACCGCTAATTAATCAATCATTTTAAATTATAATTTACATAAAAAAATAAATAAATATAATTTTAATAATACAAAATGTTATGTAAATATGAAAATATATTATGTACCTTAAATACATGTACAACTCTCTCTCTTTATTTACTACTATACTCGTTTTAGTGTGTTAATTTTTTTGTCTAACAACCCCATTAGTTGATAGGGTATGAAAATTAAGAATCAGATTAGTCCGTCAGTTAGACAGTTAAATGAAAAAATATTAGACACGAATTTTTTCGTCATATAAGCAAACAATACAGATATAACAAATTTAAGTTTAGGAGTGGGAGCTAACTACGCTACCACTCACAGTAAATAGTCACACACACAGTCAGTTACACGATATTTAAAATCATTGTAATTCATTCGTCAAAAGTATTGAATTCTGTGTTAAAAAAAAAATACGTGTCTATTGTTGTTTTAAATAATTGGGATGATGACAGGGTATGAAAATTAAAAATATAATTAGTCCGTAAGTTAGGTAATGAAAAAATATTAGACACGTATTTTTTTATTTTGTCGTATAATAAAACAATACTTAGATAAATCGAATCAAAGTTTAGGATTGGAGGCCAAAACGTCTTTTCTACGTATAAAATGTACATAGAAGTGACGTGACGCGACAAAATCAATATAATTATCGTCGAAAGCATTCGTTTCTGCAAGAAAATAAAAAATACGTATCTAATGATTTAAAATAATCTACCAGACGGACATTAAAATAAAAATTAGGCATCTACCCTATTGTACCAGACGGACATCAAAATGAAATTTAAGAAGGCACCCTCTTGGTTCAAAGATATACACATTATAATTGTTATTACAATGTCCTTTAAAAGATAGTACATCCCTCTGCTTTATTGTGTATAATTACCACAGCGTAAAGAATATTTGGTAGTTTTTTCACACATCGGGTTACATTATCGAAATTTTCATCCGGTTTTTTATTTTATAGCATTAAACTTAGCCTATGTTTACTAAAAATTGCGGGTTACTCACGTGAATATACTGAGAAAAGCTCTACTAGTTTAGTAGAAGTCAATGTGAGTAAAAAACAACGATCCTATAGTAACATTTCAATCTTGTGATACGTAAAACAAACTTATACGAAGTCCTCAGAAGGCAGTGTTTCCTTGACATGGCATCATAAGGAGGTTCCTGTCCAAACTACCGAGCTTGGATCATGCTGCCGCTGCTGGTCGACCTCTATTTTTACCGACATCAAAAAAAGAAGGAGGTACCATGTTCGACCGATTTTTTTTTGTTTATTCGCCAATTACTCCGCCATTTGTGAATTGATTTTTATACCTACATATTTTTAAATTTTTATAATTATAGTAAAAGTTATTTAAAAATATATTATGGTAAAACGGGATGAATGGAATTCGAGGGGTGAAGAGATACAGAAGAGGGGTGAATAAATGTTGGTAAAATGTTCTAATATTTATTCATCTCATTCCTGTATCTATACGTACAAAGTGTTTTAAATAAATATACGTAATTATGAAACAAACATTAAAACTACGCAACTAGGTATACAGAAACATGATTGTTTGCAATTAAAAATTAATATAAATAGATATGATGGTATTATTTTTGTGGTCCGAGTTTCCTAATTAAAATATTCCATGTATGTATTTTCAAATACGTATATCTATTATCTAAATTTAAATATGACAAATCTACACGATGAAACTATTTACTAATTTATTTTGTTAGTAATATCTACCTAAACATTATTATTTTAAGTACTGGAGCATCAAATATTTCCTGTATATGTACTGTTCCCTGTATATATACAAACTTCACATCACAGTCAATCAACGGTCTATAAGTACCCACTACTGAGCAAGGGGCTCCTATCACACGGATTTTTTTTAAGGGGGGAAATACAGGCGGGAGCAGTCATCCTATCACACGGATAAGGTTTAAGCATTAATCACTACGATAGCTCAAAGCGACAAATTATGAGTTCAGGTTTCCTCACGATGTTTTCCTTCACCGTAATTCACTGGTGTCTAGAGATAACTTCAGAAACTATACAATGACGTGCATAATGTCACATTGCGTAGAGGTATATTTGCCAGGTTTGGAATCATCCGGGTCACCGCGACATTATGAGCCTGTCAGTACTGTACTATACTGTACAATTTATTTTATAAAACTACGTCTTTGGTCAATTAGCAACAAATATGACTGTTGAAGTTTCCGATCTACCCGACACAGAACACCGAAGTATCATTAGCATATCGATCCATCAAAAATTCTTAATTTGAATGTGTGGCAATTGATTAATATTAAAGGGGATTTTTTACTGCACGTCTATTTAAAAATTTAAGCGAAGCAAATTCCTCCACTAATTACCAACAGTCCCCCTCGCTCCGCATCATGGCCTGCACTAGGCCCGGATGCGAGAGGTCGCCATCGCCGATGACTTCCCTGAGGGCACGGCGGTGCTCAGCCCACGCAGGGCATTCCGCTACAGTGTGTTCCACCGTGTCCTCAGGGCGGTCCTCGCAGTGATGACACCCGGGCGTTTTCTCCCGCCCCACCAGACACAGGTACCTTCCGAAACTTCCATGTCCGGTGAGGACCTGCGTCAGGCGGTAGGTGAGGACGCCGTAGCGTCTCTCAAGCAAGTCCCTCAAAGAGGGGACTTACCGCTGTAATGGCAGCGAGCCCAAGGTTAGGTTAGGTTTTGTTTTTTTTCACAACCTTAAGATTATGGGTTAGGTTAGGTTAAGATTTTGTTGCACTCGAAGAATTATTAGATTTAATTAAAAGATAGTCATTCAGTAAAACAGTTAAGCTTTAAAGAACTAACAGTATAGTATAATTGATTTATTTGATGAGCAAATTTAGTGTGCAATTCAGTATTTTTGGTGATAATTTCGAACATTTTGATTGAAAAAAGGGAATTTACAGTTAAATTACTAAATACCACCCAATATTAAATACTTAAAACTATGAAAAAAACTAATACAATATTGGAATCATTTAATGAAAATGTATCAATCTCATTTACTTAAATTATTGGTTTTTGATCGATGAAACCTCTTTTATAGATGTTATTCTTGAACTCGCATCTTGATTGAACGCCTTATATTCCAATATTAGCAGGATTTGGTTTCGCATTTGTATCGGGAATTAAACTAGAAGAAACAAAATATTTATTATGACAATAATATACAATGGAGCGGTATTGAAATGATAAGCTGCGAATGGGCAGATTTTTTAAACACACTTCCTTTTTTCTTACTTTTTTATTATTATGTAGTATACTACCACTGGCTCGTTGGCCGAGTGGTCGCAAGTGCGACTGCGGCGGTAAGGGGTCTCGGGTTCCATTCCCGGGCCCGACCCGGTAAAGTATTACTTACTGGGTTTTAAAAAAATCTCAGTAGTAGCACGCAGTCTGGAAATGTGCCCGGTATATGACAATAGGCTCACTCCCTATTACATGGGACTCATAACATAAATAGTGAAAAGTGGTTACTTCTATGTGCACCTCTGCCTACCGATGTTATGTTATGTCTACTACTTATCATACCTTAGTAGGTATATGGTGAGTATATTTGACATGACACTAGGTTTCCCTATATGTATCTGACGCGTTCATATAACTACCGAAATCCCTTCATGGGATCCCCTACTATATTTTCTAAAATGTTGTTATAACTCCGAAACTTACTTTCGAAATCCTCTGCCTCTAAATCCAATTCCACAAGAAAGTCTAGAAAATCACAAGCGTAGGTGTACTTGGTTAGTACTGGACTTGAATCAAACATCACTAATGACTCCAGATCTATGGTGGGACATAATATATCCTTTTCTGTAGGTGTTGGACTGTTCACACGAATTATTGCCATTGGATCAAATTCTTCTGCTTCGGATTTCACTACCTAGAAATAATAAGAACATTTGTATATTTTTTTATGAATTAAAGGTGATTATGTACATACTATTAAGTTACCGAAGCCTTGGCTCGTAGCAGGAGTAAGAACGGGGTGGTTTTTAGTCAGGAACGGGAGAAACCAGAATTGCGCGTACGAGGTCGCCAGCAGAAACTAAGTAGTAATATAATAAATAATAGACTTACCTTATATAAATATCGTGGTATGGATACTCCATTTATATCTTCGAAGGTATGCGCACCAGTCCAGACGTAAATACTGTTGTAGGACATAACATTTTCCAATATACGATCGACGTCTTCCCAAGTGGCTTCCTAGAAAGCAGTGGTCGGATTAGAATGCAGTTTGTTCTAGGCTATGTGATCTATATACAGTGAAACTTGGTTAAGTGGGACCTGGATAAGTGAGAAACCTCCATAACTGGCACTCATGCTGAGGTCCCAACACTTTGGCACTGAATTACCTCTGTGAGTGGGACGAGGTAATCTATATCTGGGATTTGTTCTTTCGATTTATCATCATAGTTAACTGAGATAGCGAGTAAATTTTATATGCATAAACCTCTGTAACTGAGATAACATTGTTTGTTTACTCATTCTTATTCTACCTACAAATTCCACACGTAATTCCAAGTCCACCTCTATTAATGGAACCCTCTGTAAATGAGACAGATATTTATTTATACCTGTATATCTGAGACACTGGGTAAGTGGAATACCTCTATAAGTGAAACGACATAGCAGGTCCCTTGATGTCTCACTTAACCAGGTTTCACTGTATATAAAAGAAAGTTGTGTTAGTTACACTACTTATAACTCAAGAACGGCTATATCGATTTGGATGACAATTGGTGGGGAGATAGCTTAGAACCAGGAGACTGACATGGGATACTTTTTCATCGAATTTTTTTTTTACTTTTCGCCGAAAATCACGAACGGGAAGTGGAAAGAACGGGATTGCGCGTACGAAGTCGCGGGCTGAAGCTAGTACATACTAAATTCATTGCAAAATTTGTGTTACCAACATTATATACAATAATTTTTGTTCCACAAGTATTTAGTCAAAAGTCGACTATACGCTCTAAAACCTTATGCAGTATTATAATGCCTACATTAACGAATCTAAATAAAATAATTAGAACATTGTTTCGAATGCTACTATGCTACGTCTGGTCTATCCTTATGTATGATTGTGAAGCATGGACCTTAAAAGATGACACCATTAGACGCATAAAGGCGTTTGAATTGTGATGTTACCGTCGCGTCAGATGTTGTGCATAAGTTGGACGCAAAAGGTTAGGAAGGATACCGTGCTCTAGCGCGTCCACATGCCAAGCAAAATGATCCAAACCATCAAAAAGCGCTAGATAGCATACTGAGATACTGATAGATACATGCTGCTTCATCTAATAATGATGGGTAACGCAGAAGGGAAGAAAAGCGCTGGGCGAAGGAAAAAGTCGTGGCTGCGCAATATTCGGGATTGAACCGGTATCAGGGGGCTTACTATTGAATCCAATTCCGATCGATCGATATTGGTATTGTAATATTTCGTACTCTTGAGTTTCAACACCAGCGCCCATTGCATTTGTATTGCTTGGATATTGAATGAACTAGATGGTATTGAGTTTACCTCTATTCCGTACTCTGAATGCTATTGTAACAGCTACGATTGTGGTTGTATAGTATTGACATTGGATAATTATTGAGATTTATTGGATTGAAATTGCATTGATATTGAGATTGGTTACAAGAGTAAGCACCCAGGTCTGTGGAACAACTCTTCTTCCTGGCAAATGATAAGGTCCAATTCAAAAAGCTGACGCCATATCTTCAGGAATAAAGTGGCACCAAAAGAAGAAGAAGAAAATTGTTTGGTAGGTATGATTCGATGAAAAAGAATTTCTGCCTGAAGCCATTTTTCCATAGCGACAAAGTCACAGGCAAAAGCATAATTAACATTAATAAATTACATTAGCAGTAAAGAATCGAATCCGCCACATGATGCGTTGGAGCCAGACGTCCAGCCAATGTCAATAAACTGTCGTGGTGGCCCGGAGGGTTCGAAACCTACCAACGGCAAGTACCAATGTGTCTTTTTCCGAGTTATATGTACTTTCTAAGACTATTTAGACACCACTGACAAACATCGTGAGGAAACCTGGACTTATAATTTCTAATTATAAGTTTGAAATCACCAACCCGCAATGAGGAAGCGTGGTGATTAATGCTCAAACCTTCTCCGTGTGAGAAGAGGCTTTGCTCAGCAGTGGGCATTTATAGGCTGTTGATGGTTGATGGTAGTCCAGCCAATCCGTCAAAATCTCTTCAGCTTTATAATGCTATGCTATGCTAATAATCATAACCATTGATATTATCTTACCTGACTGCTATTCGCACAATGTCGCCAAGAAGGGACCACATTCAAAAAGTCCATAAAAGTAGCTTTCTTCGCTAACCCGTGTATGAAGTACCGTGGATTCGCCATATAAGTTTTTTCATAACAACATGTTTCATTAACATGTTTACATGTAAACCCTCTATTAACATTTACATTTCCAATTCCTGGATGTACGAACCAATCATTGGAAGGCGCTAAAAATCGTGGTTCATCGTCAATTGTAGTTACTTTTTGAAATGTACGTAGTGGCATATTTTTATGGTGGTCAAAACAGACTGAATATGTTTCTACAAATCGACCCACATCATAACCGACTTTTATAAGTTCCGCAGTTTTTGTTATGCATTCTTTGTTCATTTTCTTGATTGTGGGCATAAATTTATTTTTACATAGCAAATCGTCTACCCTTTGTGTCTTATTTCCTACTAAGAACAAGTCTTGGTGATCACAAAACGATACCAATTCATTTTTGTTAGGGAACTTCTGAAAATAATTTCTAGTGTGATTGTCGCTGGGACAAAATAATAAGATTTCTTCATTTTTTTCTATAAGCATATCATAATGTGTCGCTCCCCATGACCCTGGCAAGGTCAAATTTGTTGTTAACATCAGCGGAATGTTTTCGTCTTCCAAAGATCTTCTTATGAAGCATACTGTAAAAGACAAATACAATTTCAAAGTAACATACAGTTTATTGCTGCAATAAAATTATATCGGTATTGAATTTAGAACTGAACCGGACCTATGTATGTGCCTGTATTAGGCCCGCAAAAATTGCGTGTTTCTTTGGGAATCCGGAGAGAAAAGTAATTCCTGAACATTACACTTTTCAACAATAAATGAAGTTTCCAAATCGATATATAGAGGTAAGTTTCCTATTTCAAATTTAAACAAACAACCAAATGCATCATCACCATATTTGTTAAATATTGAAAAAAAAACGGCTCCAACGATTTTCTTGAAATTTTATATTTAGTGGAGTTTCGGTGGGGATAAATCAATTTAGCTAGGTTTTATTTTTAGAAAATGTCGTTTACTAAAACAAATATCGGTCATCTAAATACTAAATACATAAAAGTGAGGTACAGATTAACTTACATATATTCGAGTTGACATGAAAGCTCCTCTCTACTGATCCATGTACGTTTGACACTGTGCACTTGTACTGTCCCCATTTATTTGTAGCACCTCCTTGTAATATATCCTTCTCCGTTGTAACTTTGCCGTTGAACTCCCAAACAACCTAAAATAATATTGAGGGAAATAATATTGAGGATATAATCAATATAATGGCGTAGTACCTCAATAGGTACTACGCCATTATTAAAGTTTATAATGGGATCTGGAATGAAACCTTATGTCATGTGTGTTCAGCTTACTAAAAGATGGCACAATGGTTATAAAATTTAAATCGAAATAATCGACGTTTAATAGCATTTCATGATTATGTTAAACACTACAATATGTTGGATGAGAATAAAATGTTGCAATTGGAGCGAATGGTAAACAGATAGACGGGAAGTTCAGGGAAGGTACTGATGAATACTTATATGTAGTTTAATTTATAAAGTATTGCTGGTGGAATAAATACACAAAGGTATGTACATACATACGTGTATTACATTCTTTAGGTAACGATCAGAACAAAGCCGCTGTCCTATTCCACTTTCCTATGCTATATATATTATATTAGATTTAGAGATATTATAAGACTTAAAATTGAGTAAGGTTTCAATATTCGGGCATTATTGACTAAAAACCATCCAGATCCTACTCGTGCTTTGAATGAGAGCCCTGATAAATCACTAAGTCATCCACAGCTCCAGGTCGGACATCAGCCCTATTGGATCTTTGGTAGCATCTTTGATGCCTGCGCAAAACGCAATCATGTTTCATAAGTTTTGCTATTAAGTAAATAAGTTTTATATAAAATAGCGTAGGGCGCCTTAATACCTAAGCCTCACTTAGGAGATAAAAAGATAACTTTAATATTCTTAGAGCAATCGAAAAAATATAAAATATAAAAAGAAATAAATGACTGCCTCATTGGCCGAGTGGTCGCAAGTGCGACTGCCGGGCAAGGGGTCTCGGGTTCGATTCCCAGGTCGGGCAAAGTATTACTGGGTTTTTAAAAATCTCAGTAGTAGCACGGAGTCTGGAAAAATGTGCCCGGTATATGGCAATAGGCTCACCCCCTATTACATGGGACTCATAACATAAATAGTGAAAAGTGGGTGTTACATTGTATAGTGGCATTAAGTGCCGAAATGTGCACCTCTGCCTACCCCTTCGGAGATAAAAAGGCGTGATGTTACGTTATGTTATAAAAAGAAATACAGTACTTACTTTGGCTCGTGGTTTTGCGTAACTGTCACAGTTGTATATGATACTCTTTAACGTACCACGCCATTTATTTGTCAAATAAGTCGATGCTTCGTACAACGTAGGAGGGTAGCCGACATCCACTATATAGTTATGTGAAAATGTACGTCCATGTCTGTCGTTGACCCTACATGTATAGTTTCCATCAGAAGCTAAATTGGCATTAACTACTTCATAATATGGTTTCTTTTTGTCACTTACTTCTACGTCTTCCTGTAATAATAATACGTTATTATGTGAACCTGCATACAAATACACTGTAATAGCACTTTTAGCTGAACACCAGCCTTTTTTGCTACGTGTACGTTGTTCTGTTTTTTTATTTAACTATTTTTCTTTGTGTAATGAAAAAGTTTATGTTAAGCCCAGATTTACACTTAGGAGCAATAAAACAGAGTCACTGGCGTTCTTTTTTTACTTTATTAGTTAGTATTTAAAACTTTAGTGGTGGTATTATTATTTATTTTTTTGTGATACTATGTTTAGATTTCGTATGTATAATGTAACTTTCGTATGTATAATGTAATTTTGAATTTTGAAATTTTATATTATGTAACTAATTTTGTCGTATTAGGCTAAGTACCTGTGAAGATTAAATTAGCTGTTTTTTGATATAAATAAATAAATAAATTATCGAATGCTCTTTATATTTTAAAAATATATTCCTTTGACGACAAAATGCTCTCATTTTAAAGGTTACTAAACTGCCGTTTATACGGCATACGTTACTAATTAAAAAATATTGGTATCTGAAAATATTAATACATACATACATACATACATCAACAGCCTAAAAGCCCACTGCTGAGCAAAGCCTCTTCTCACACGGAGGTTTGAGCATTAATCACCACGCCTGTTTAATGCGGGTTGGCGATTACAAACTTATAATTAGAAATTATCCTTCACCATTTGTCAGTGGTCTAAATAATATTAGAAAGTACAAATAACTCGGAAAATTCACATTAGTGCTTGCCGTTGGTAGGTTTCGAAGCCACACCCTCATGCATGAGAAGCGGGCGTCTTGAACATCCGGGCCACCACGACATAAAAAGAAAATATTCAACAAGGAATTAAAAATGAAAAACGATAGTGGTTTCTATTCATTGCTCCCAAGTGTAGTTTGTAATTTTATTAACATTAATTTTCATTATACTTTCTTGGTCGACGATTGCCTTAGTACCTTTTGGTTCATGGCACTGGAGGCTATGCTCTAGTATCACGTCACTTGAATGAAGAAGTAGAAGACAAAAGCTACTTACAATAAACCATCTGACTAATCCAGAAGAATTGTAGCCCTCGCAATATAACTTTCTGGTTTCCCCGACTAACAAGTAAATGTATTTACTTTCAATACTGATGTCGCTGATGAATTCTGAAAGTAGCATGGCGTTTGGAATTGGTCCCTTATTACATGGGACTCATAAAATAAATAGTGAAAAGTGGTTGTTACATTGTACAGTGGCATAATGTGCATCTCTGCCTACCCCTTCGGGGATATAAGGCGTGTTATGCATTAAGTCCCCTGACACACTAGCTCAACTACTAGGTCAACTGTTAGCTTGACGAACTCGTCAAGGCGGTTGTATCGCGATGGGATATTAAATTTGTACAGCCGCCAACCACAGGGGGCGTCTAGCTGTGCGGTTGACCGCTAGTGGATATTGGGGATTGGGGGGACACAAAAAGTCATACTCACCTTTTACTCTTGATTTAAAAGTCGCAATGTCCGATCCTATCTGGTTCTTAGCTTCACAGGTATACGATAGAGAATCATTTTGTGTTAGATTTTTTATTACGAGAGATCCATCTTCTATAGAATATTTGTCATCTGTTAAACAATCAACCAACTTATAATATTATCACACCTTTTTAATATTAAACTAGAAACTAACAAATTTAATTTCTTTTACTTACTCGGTCGTATTTCAATTCCTCCTACTTTCCAAGTGTTGGCTGGTTTTGGATTACCGAGAGCTTCGCATGGTATCCTCAATGCAAGATCCCCTTTAAACCCAATATACTCTGTAGAAGATTTTAAAACGATCTTCGGTGGAACTGTCGATATAAAAAGATACGGTTTTCTTACACAACTGGTTGGCTAGATGACTCGACTAGTTTCAAGACACGCTATTAGACTCGTTTTTATTGGCTGCGCGACATTCGGCGCGGTGTTTGGCGCCACAGAACATATAATTGGCGCAATACTACTCATGAATATCAGTCCCTAGCGTGTTTTTAAAGTGGTCCAGTTATCTCGCCAAAAAACCAATAATAAACACAAGAGTAAAACTACAAAGGAAAAGCAGAAACATGAACTCTAAACGGTGATCTTTTTTATTATATGTAATCCTTTTCCGACAACGAAATCAATACCGAAAAATGAGGTAATAAAATACGTAAATTTTCTCTTTAGCAACACAGACTTTCACTCAAATAGATAGTAGAAGATAACATTAATTACCACACAACCAACTATGAAATTTTCAAAATACTCACATTCAACAATAAACTCAGTAACATGATTGTCAATACCAGCTTCATTCTGTGCGATACATTTGTAGAAACCTGCATTTTCTTGAGACACATTTGATAGGCGCAGGGTATTGCCAGATGCATCTATAGATTTGAACTCTGAACTGGTCATATCCTTAAACTGCCAAGTGAAGTGAGGCAAAGGCACCCCTTTAATGATTCTAAAATTGAAAAGTCCTATGAAATCTCACTTCGGTATGATTTATTTATTGTGAATATAATTGTTTGAGGGCTTTTTTCTTAATAGCTGAAGAAGTTTGTACATACTTACTGTCTATGTGTCAAATAGGAGGCCTAATTATCCCCTTCCCCAATCTCCCCAATCCCTGAATCCCCAACGATCCTCAAGTTTCTAATCCCCAAAAGGCCGGAAACGCACTTGTAACGCCTCTAGTGTTACAGGTGTCTATGGGTGACGCCGATTGTTTACCATCACCATTACCAATCATTACCAACTGCTCGATAACCGGCTTATGCCATAAAAAAAAATTAAGCTAACCGCAACTTTGAGGTTATTTCCAATATAAATCACGGTTGCACAACGTGTCACTAATAAAATTTTCAGTTCTTTATGTGGTCAACAAATTATTTATCGTCATAGGTCTGGGTGAGATGTGTTTGAAAAAATAATCAAATTATGTTTTATAATTATATAAGTAAACACATAATATCAACTACTGCGGTCTTAGCCAAATTACAATTCTACAAACGATATCGTTATTAGAAAAATGTGATACCTAATGTATGGGAATTACTTAAGTCTAAATGACGTGGTCAAAAGAAAATTCCTAGCCAAGTAACATAATTATTTATTCCACCATATTGATGGAAGTGGTGTAGAGTTTATATTTAAAGAGGCAATTAAACTTACTTGCAAGTTATGGTTACATTAGAACCAATTACAGCCTTTTTCTCTTTTCCTCCTGTTATATTAGGTGCCACTGAAAGGTATTATAATGTTAAAACCTATTTATACATTTATAATAAAATCGTAGAAAAGTCAAAACTGTATATTGAGTATTTAAAAAAAAATACTTGGAGCATGATCTACAATCGATACCGAAGCCAAAAATATGGTTTTTAGAATATTGGTCTGTTTGTTTATATGTTTGTCCGGGATGATGTCAAAAAGTACTGCATGGATTTACTTCAAATTTTGCATGAATATTACTAGCAAGTCGGGTCAACATATAGGCTACATATTATCACGCTATCACTTACGCGAATGAATCAATTCTGACGACAATCATTACCGTAGAATATCCCTTGATAAAAAATTAAAAACTAATTCAAAAGCCTAAATTATGTCATAAGTCATTATTCTACGCTGACGAAGTCGCGGGCACCAACTAATATTGTATAAACGTAGTACAGATCGACTGAGTACCTACTACATTACTTTGCCCAGTAATTTAGTCTTCAGTCTTATTATACACAAGGAGCTGCAGTATGATTCTGTAGAACACTTATTTCGAAAGAAATATTACCTACGAAAGTCACTTGAATTCGGTTCCATACAGTAAAACAATTAATAAGAAGTTTCACATCTCATCATCACATTTACTTTTGTAACAACTTCTTTTTCAAATCATTTATTTGTTTTTAATAAATAATTTAAATTAAATAAATATGTACAACTTAAAATATAAATAACTAAAAACTAAAATATTTATACCTTAAAAAAAGTAATATTAATAAAAATGCTATCTTCCTGAGGTATCAACCATCCTCCTTACAATATCTTTGTAAAGAAGATGTGCACTTGGGCCCCACGTAATAATACATATTTCTTTCGAAATTCGTATCGAATTTCTGTTCGGAACTTTTTGCTTAACAATTTTAAATCATCATTGATTATAATGGTGTATTTTTTTTTATCATCATTATCATTTAATTTATCATGTACAATGATGGGTCGACGTTTGACCACTATCTCGTCTGGTAATGCGGTCTACGATGGATCACGTAGTCCCATAAGCAACATCTTCAACTCGGGCCTTGAAGACTTGTCTTTAAATCTTCATTTTCTTTAAACTTATTTACTTACCCAATATAATCCCAATTTTTTGAGTATAGACAACGGAACAGGCATATTTTCCCACCATATTGTAATGCATATGCCTAATCTTCAGTTCTCTACCGTTTTTAGAAATAGCATAATCGTCTGACGGCTTTATTTCTTTTATCTGTCCTGTAGTATCAATGTGATGCCAATGAATAATGGAATTTGATTCAGATCGAATAGGGCATATTATGGCACCTTCTGAGCCGTATACTATACTTTTTGTATCTGAAACATTGGTATAATAAATATGTAGTCTTTAGTTGGATAGTTGTATTTACTGTCTCGTTGTCCGAGTGGTCGCAAGTGCGACTGCCGGGCAAGGGGTCTCGTGTTCGATTCCCGGGTCTGGCACAGTATTATTGGGTTTAAAAAAAATCTCAGTAGTAGCACGGAGTCTGCAAATGTGCCCGGTATATGGCTAGGCTCACCCCTCTATTATATAAACTCGGACTCATAACATAAATAGTGAAAAGTGGGTGTCACTTCTGTGTGTACCTCTGCCTTCCCCTTCGGGGATAAAAGGTGTGATATTATGTTATGTTGTATTTACTATATTTAGTATTACATTGTTCTTTTTTTACATAATATTATGTGAGTTTAAGTAAATATAAGATCATTTCATACCTGCATCCTTTCTTCTATCTAATAGTTCTTCAAGTAAAGAGTAAGAGCAATGATTACTACATGACTTTTGGGTAATTTCTTCTCCTAGTATAGTACAAATATTAAATAATATCAAAACTAACACTTGTCTCAACATTTTTAACTGAATTTAAGAACAGGAGTTTAATTATTGCCTAATCAACGTTATATGTCCTAGACTCAGACTAACGTTGTTAACAAGATTATTCGTACTTTATATGTACCTATTATACGTGTTTTGAATTATTTGTCCTGTAGATAAGTAGTTTATTTTTATCTAATTAAAAGCTTACGGTTTTACCCGTGTACCGTTAAAAAATATACCGATATGCTATCTACACATATGTATATATAATAAAATCGTAGAAAAGTGAAAACTGTACATTGATTTTTTTTTAAATAATGCTTGTGTCATAAGCAGCGATCGATATCGATGCCAAAAATATAGTGTTCAGAATTTTTGTCTGTTTGTCTGTATGAATAGTATGTCCCAGCTAAACTCAAAAGTACTGCACGGATTTACTTTATGCATTAATATTGCTAAAAGGTCGGGTCAACATATAGGCTACATATTATTAAGCTACCACTTACGGAGAGGAGCTGTGAATCACTATTCCACCCAGACGAAGTCGCGGGTACAGCTAGTGCTTAATATAGCTTATTTTTTTTAGAAGTTAGTAAGTACAAATTGTTGTTGTTGTGTTTCATTTTTGATGCCATTCTACAAGTTTGCCTCATTGGCCGAGTGGTCGCAAGTGCGACTGCCGAACAAGGTGTCTTGGGTTCGATTCCCGGGTCGGGCAAAGTATTACTGTTTTTTTTTAATTCTCAGTAGTAGCACGAAGTCTGGAATTGTGCCCGGTTTATGGCAATAAGCTCACCCCCTATTACATGGGACTCACAACATAAAGAGTGAAAAGTGGGTGTTACATTATACAATGAAATAATGTGCACCTCTGCCTACCCCTTCAGGGATAAATGGCGTGAAGTTAGTTTGTTGTCTACAAGTTTGAAGTTCTTATTATGCGTTAAGACAGTCGTTTCAAGTGCATTTTTTTTAAAAATCTATGTTGTTCGTCCCACAATGACATTTTCTTCTATGTCGTGGGTGCGTGTACAAATATACAGGTTCATATAAACTCAGCCGGTTGCCCAGTTACCACGCCAACCGTGTAACGTGGTATGCATGTAAACTATGTATATCATTCTGTAAACGATTTAGGTAAAAATCCTATATTAGACCATTGCCACATGTCGTCATAGATACATACAATTATCGACCACAATTTATAATTCAAATATTCAGATTCGGGAAAACCACAATAGCTAACAGTATATTTATGTAACAACATAGTTGTAGTTATACATAACTAAGTTATGTTTATAGGTATTGAACCACGTTATCAAACGTTGAACAGATTTGAATAAAGTTTCCATTTACCTACAGGATGATTGTTTATATATAAACGATCTGACTACACGACTGATGCAGTGACAGAATAAAAAATAATTTTATGGGGAAAATAAAACTCTTTATAACATTTGTGTGTTAAATCAAGTGAAAACGCGGGTTACTCACGTGAATATACTGAGAAAAGCTCTACTAGTTTCGAACTAGCGTCGCAGTGCAGGTGGCAACACCGAGGCGAGCGCCGACGCCAGCCAGTGTGCTGCGCGACGTCGCCGCGACCGCGCACGCTGCTCATGAGGAAGAACCCCTCTGTGGTTCGAAACTAGTAGAGTTTTTCTCAGTATATTCACGTGAGTAACCCGCGTTTTTACTTGATTTAGTATGTCTCACGATAGTTATTATAAAAACATTTGTGTGTTACATTGGAGATATTCACATCTTAATGTGAATAGGCCCTTAGGCCTCACTTCACAACTTTTGGATAACCGTTTTGTACGAGATAAAATGATTCAAGTAGAACGTGATTTATATTAACGTTCCAAATCTCTGGGTTATTCTAGAAAAAATCGCAAGAAATTAACAGCATCATTCTCCTATATCCCTAATGCTGCTGATTCAAACTCAAAATTTGCACAACACTGCTCTCAATTAATTCTATATATAATAACACAGATGCTAATAAAGAAACTGCAATGCTCAACAAAGCGGGAGCTAATGATTTATTTAAAAAAAATTTCGATGAAACACCCATCTGCTACACAAGGCTTTTGTCCACGTTGCGTCATTTAATGAATGCATGCATTCGTCAAAAACGATAAGCGGGTTTAATTTTGCGGTTTTATGGACAGATTTCATTGTTTCTAAGCATCTAGCAAGCATTTGTGTTTTGCAGGCCGCCTATTGTTTATGATAGATAGATGCATTTGTCAAATGACGCAACAAGAACAGTTACCCTAAATAAAACGTAATGAGTACGAACTATCTGCCACATAAGTGTATCGGGTGCTTGTATGAAGTAGGTGAAACAATCCCTTAACCTTTTGAACGCCACGGTCGGCTATAGCCGACAAACAAAATTTGACGTGATTCGTCACAGTCCCATTTAACCCCAAGCGGTCACTGGTGACCGCTCTCCACTAACTACATTATAAACCTTATTTCCGATATTTAGAGACTATTTTTGTATGAACAAATTTAGGGGATGATATTTCAACAGAATGATTTTTAAGTCCATTTAGTTTGTCGACTATTGCTGACTGCGGCGGTCCAAAGGTTAATTACAAATGAATATAATAACACTTGTGACTTATGTATACTTGTGAATGACTTATGTATGACACAAAAATAATTACACACGAAAATTTATTTATATTTTATTGTCTATCATTATTTTAAAGCAGGAAAGGAATTTGGAAGTGGAAGTCTTCCAGTTGGTGCAGAATGTTAAAAAAGCTTCATTATATTTTAACGTATATGTTGATGCTATCAGTGCCCACACTGTTATTGGCGATGCAGAGGTAGGATCCCTCATTCTTGTAGTTCACGTTGTTCAGATGAAGTAAACTTGAGGAATTGGCCCTAGAAAGAGATATATGTGTTTATAGGTGGTTTCTTTTAAACAACAATCTAAGAAATCTTTATGCTTTCCGATTCACTAGCTATTTCATCCACGTCATCATCATCAGCAGCCTATAAGTGGCCAATGCGGACTAAAGGCCTCTTCTCACACGGAGAAGGATTGAGCATTAATCACCACGCTTGCTCAATGCGTGTTGGCGATTTCAGACTTATAATTAGAAATTATGAGCCCAGGTTTGTTTTATTTCATCGTTTGTCAGTGTCAATAAGTCTAAATAATCTTATACCTCTGGGCCACCACGATATCACAAGCTATTTATTTAGCGATTATAGCTTTGTAGTAGGTCGATAACAATATTAAAGTTACTTAAATAGTGACTTGTGTATAAGACTTATTTATGATAATGGTCCAAATGTTTAGGTAGATTAGTTGCTCATATGGGTATTTTTTTTTGGACCTATACCTACTTATCGAAAGACTTTAGGCACTTTATCATTTTAGTGTATGATAGCAAAATAAAATGTTTTACAGTACTTTTTTTATTTTGTTGTATTAGAAAACAATACCTAAGTGTGGGAAATCCAAACTCCGGCACGAATGGGCCGGCTCGACCGGACCGATACCATGGATTTACAGATAACCGACGTGAAACAACGCTTGCGTTGTCTTTCGTCATGTGAGTGAGGTTACCGGAGGCCCAATTCCCCTGTCTCCCCTTCCCCAATTTCCCCAATCTCCCCAATCTCTGAATCCAAAACAATCCTTAAATTCCTAAGCCCCAAAGCGCTTGTAATACACTTGTAACGCCTCTGGTGTTCGAGGTGTTCATGGGCGACGCCGATTGCTTACCATCAGGTGATTCATCTGTTTGTTTACTGGCTTGTCCCATAAAAACTTAGATAAAACGAATCAAAGTTCAGGAATAGGAGCAAATTACGTCATTTCTACGAACAAAACGTATCTCGAAATCTGGTTCTTCTGCTTACTGTGTACTTCTGCTAAGCCGGATCCCCGTTAACCCCGGTAACCTTTTAGGTCGTCAGCCGCTCCGGCACATATTGTGAATAAAAATAAAAAATAATCAGATATACCTTAACAGTATCTTGGTACTGGAGTCGGTTGCTATGAACTCCCATTTTGTGGATGGTACTGGATTACCAAATAAGACGTTGCAGGTTAGCACAAGATTACCGCCAGTTGTTGCAAGTACGGTCTTTTCCTTCGGAGCTTCTATGTATGGTGCCACTGTCAATTTCAAATCAAAATTGTGAAAAAGGAATAGCTAATTAATTTAAATGATCTTGCTAGATAACTATTTGCACAAGTTCTAGTTACAATCATACAACATCATAATGAGTAAAATATTTTGATAGGTAGAAATCAACTTACAGATATCTTTAAAGCTACACGCAAACTCACCTAAAACATTAACTGTAATGGTCTTCTCAGCTCTACCGATACTATTTTCTGCAATACAGTGATAATTTCCGGAGTCCTTCCACAACGCCTTAAAACTGAATGAAACATAATTCAAATTAATATTGAATTACACAATTTTTATTTCAATAAACACAAATAAAAAACTTAAATTAAAACTGACTATTGAATGGTCCAATAAGAATACAGAACAGCGTAATAATAATTGTCCCTATGTTGGTGATTCATAAAATCATTTATAGGCGATCCAAAGCCATTTATAGATCAACTCATATTATATATATTATTAGAATATTATACTACATTTGACCGTGTATATTCTGTAAATAAGTAAGTCACAAATAAAATAAATTACGCCAATGTATTTTATGTCCCAATAAAACAATGCAAACCATAGCGTATGTCTGCGTAAAATCCTATCTAGCAGCCCCTATCCAGCTATCATAAAACTATTCTATCCTTCCTACACCACGCATTTCTACTAATATTATAAATACAAAAGTTTGTGAGGATATCTGCATGTATTTGTTACTATTTCACGCAAAAACTACTGAACGGATACCTATGTATATTATGAAACTTGTCAAATCACCAAAAGAAAAGGGTCAATTCACTATATCAATATTTTTTATAACACATTAACATAACATAACATCACGCCTTTTATCCCCGAAGGGGTAGGCAGAGGTGC